TATAAAAAATATATAATAAAAATTTTTACATTTAAATAAATTCTAATATCTAATAACTTAGTTAAATAAGATAGAATTAAAATTTTATTTTGAAAAAATAATTTATTAATATTTATTTAATGTATCAATCTTTTTACATCAGATTATAATATTATTTAATTTTTTTTATTATATATTTTATTTTTATATTTTTTATAAAAAAATATTTTTTAATATTTTTAACTTATAAATATTACTTATTAATATTTATTTTATTTTTTTTCAAAAATTTATTTTTTAATAATAATTTTTTATAATAAAATTTAAAATTTTATTTTTATTAATCAATTACTTTTAATATTATATATTTATTAGTATTTTTAACTAAAATATTAAATTGAATTTTTTATTAAACTTAAATTAAATTTAAAATTTAAATAGTTTTAAATAAATTTGAAAAATTAAATTAAACTTGAATTAATCTTAAATCAAATTTAAATTCAAGTTTTAAGTGAAATTATAATTTAAATTCTGAATTATAATTTTATATAAGCTATTATATAATAAAAATTATTTTTTATTTAAAAATTAAAATATTTTAGTTTTTTAATAATATTTTTACTTTTTAATAAGAACTACATAAAATAATTATAAATAAAATTACAATTCTTGTTTAAAATTACAAATTTTATTAAAATAATTAATAAAATATTGCAATTTATTATATTTATAATAATAAATTAAAATTATTTAAATAAAATATTTTAGTTCTATCTAGTTAAAGTCAAGATTTTAAATAATAACTATACAAAATAATTATAAGTAAAATTGTAATTCTTTTTTAGAACTACAAATTCCAAGATAGTTTATAATTTATTATTTTTACAATGATAAATTATAATTATTTGAATAAATAATAAACCTATTTATATTTATAAACAAAATTATAATTCTAAAACCAGACCCAAATTTCGAGTTCAAGTCCGGTTTGAATTCGAGCTCGAACTAAACCAGACTCGAACTTTTTTTCGGAACACTAATAGTTAGTAGTTGTTCATCAAATTTCTTTGGATCTATAGACCAAGCACCGATCATGTGATAATAAAATATTATACGTCACGTAAGACGCGTCTTGAATTTCTCTATTTCTCTGATAGATAAAACTTTTATATTTTTTCCGATTTGCATAATATTTTTTTTTGATGGCTGCCATAGGCTGGGATTCAGGAAATATTTACACGACCAATATTACTGAAGGTCAAACTTCCGAGAACTCGCGTGTCGAAATCGAAAAACAACTTCTTGCTTTCATTAGAGATTTTTATACTGGAAATGAACACATATATAGGTCTCATAAATTAAATTTTTGAAAATAAATATACGATTTTATATTGATATGCGCGTCAACTTTCGCTCACAAATTATTAACCTAGATGAATATCTAATTTAATTTTGTACAGCAAGCAGCTATTTGAAAATTATTCGACGAAAAGATATTTCCTCGAGGTTTCGATGGATCATTTTCGAGCACACAATGAATCTCTTGCTGTAAAACTACAAAATTCACCGATGGAAATTTTACCTTTGGTAAACTATCTTTGTTGATGTGTATATATTATAATACTTTTCATTAATTTAAATTATTGTAATGTATTTTTTGGCTAAAAGTTTGAATTGGCTGCAAAGAATCATCTCCAAACATTGACAAATTCAACCAATGTACCTGATATACAAATCATTTTGAAATCGTCCACTGAAATGATCAAAATTCGTGATTTGGATGTAAGTATATTCTTATTTGACTTGCATCATGATTATTAACTAAACAGATTTACCATAAATATAATGTAAATTTGCATTAAAGGCAAAACACATTTCAAAGCTAGTTCGTATACCGGGTATCATTATAGGTGCATCGACATTATCGGCAAAGGCAATTAGTGTGCAGATAATGTGTAAAACTTGTCATCATACCAAGACAGTATTAGTGAAAGGTGGATTTTCCGGCATTCAACTTCCAAGAGTCTGTGATAGGTGAGAATGATATCTTTAAAAGGAAGTGAGTCTACATTAAACACCGATCTTTTATTATGATCTAGTGAACCTACCGATACAGGGCCAAAACAATGTGTAATGGATCCATACGTTGTAGTTCACGACAAATCCACTTTTGTAGATCAACAAACGCTCAAAATCCAAGAAGCGCCCGATATGGTTCCAATTGGTGATATACCTCGTCATATGCAGCTTTGTGCAGATAGGTATAAATCTTATCACATCAAAAATAATATTTATGTATTAAATATGGAAGATTTATCATGATTGTTTATTTATTCATTTTATAGATATCTAACTGGCAAAGTATCTCCGGGATATCGTGTTATCGTGATGGGAGTCTACGATGTATACCAAAAAAAATCTGGAGTAAGTTTTTATTTGTAGTAATGTAGTAAATATGCTTTCAACTTTGGAAATATATGTTGATTAAAAATAAAAATCAAGAAAGGAGCAGGTGTTGCAATTCGTAATGCTTATATTAACGTGGTTGGACTGGAACATGACACGGATCAATCTGAACGGGGAAAACGAAGTTGGACTCCGGAGGAAGAGGAAGAAATGATTACATTGTCAAAAAATCCAGATCTATATAATTTCTTTTCAAACAATATAGCACCGTCTATTTATGGTAATCAAGGTAATAAGATCAAATATTATTTTATCTTGATGTATATTATTTGGCAAATTATTATTATTGTATTAGTAAGAAATTTTTTAAAATTAATGTAAAGATATCAAGAAAGCAATCGCTTGTTTGCTTTTTGGTGGAAGTAAAAAGATACTTCCTGATGGTATGAAATTAAGAGGTGACATTAATGTGTTGTTACTTGGAGATCCCGGAACTGCCAAAAGTCAACTTTTGAAATTTGTAGAAAAGGTAATTTACTGAGTATTTATATTTTTGTTTAATTAGTTTTCAATCTGCAATAAAAATTGATATTTTGTCTTTAGGTCGCACCAGTAGCAATATATACTTCAGGAAAAGGTAGTAGTGCTGCTGGGCTAACAGCTTCAGTTATTCGTGATCCACAAACAGTAAGAAATTTTTAACATTTTTCATGTTCATTTAATTTAAATTTTTCGCGAAATTTATTCTTTCTGAATAATGAAATTATTAGCGTGAGTTTTACTTAGAAGGTGGCGCAATGGTGTTGGCAGATGGTGGAGTTGTATGTATCGATGAATTCGACAAGATGCGTGATGAGGATCGTGTAGCAATTCATGAAGCAATGGAGCAACAAACAATCTCCATCGCTAAAGCGGGTATTACAACTATTCTGAATTCACGAACTTCGGTGCTGGCAGCCGCAAATCCTATCTTTGGTCGTTATGATGATATGAAAACGCCTGGCGAAGTAAAAAAAATTTTTGATTTCTTTTTTTATTTAATTTAAAAGTTCAAGATATTTCTCATACCTTTTTTGTTTTCAATAGAATATTGATTTTCAGGCTACAATATTGTCAAGATTTGATATGATCTTCTTGGTAAAAGATGTACATAACGATCAGAAGGACAGGGTAAGTGTTATCTAACGCTTCATGTATTTATTTCATTTGTGTTCAATTTAATAGCACGATGAGTTGATATATTTAATAAACAAATAGGATATTGCAAGGCATGTAATGATGGTACATATTAATCGAGCCAACCCACCATCCGTCGAGGGTGATATAGATATAGCAAAGATGAGAAAATATATTAATTATTGTAAAGCGTGAGTGTAATTCATTTACTATTTTTTCGATTACGAATGATCTTTCTAATATTATTTTATATATTTTATATGTAAATATATGCCAATAGAAAATGTGCACCTCGTCTGACTGAAGAAGCAGCAAATAAACTTTGTGCACATTATGTAGGGATTAGAGGCGAAGTTAGTAAAGTGGAACGGGATAGCAATACTCGATCATCGATTCCCATCACTATCAGGTTAGAAATTAGCAAGAAATATTCGAATAATTGATTTAATTAAATCAATACTTTCTATAGACAATTAGAGGCGATTATTCGAATTGCCGAAGCATTAGCCAAAATGACTTTATCAACCGAGGCTAATGAAAATCACGTGAATGAAGCAATTCGACTTTTCAAAAAATCAACAATGACGGCGTTACAGACTGGTGAAGGTAAGATGTTTATTATCTTCAACTATTAAGAAAAGATTCCCACTATACAATTTTTTATTTGCTTTTTTAGTCGAAGGATTATCACACCCGGAGCTGATGTCAAAAGTACAAAAGGTAGAAAAATTGATTAAAGATCGTCTTCCATTGGGATCACAAATATCTTCAAGAAAATTAATTGACGAGATTATTAAAACTAAAGAGGTACTCATTCGTGATATGTAGAACATATCATCATTATTATTATTATCGATTAATTATTTGGATATGACTGATGGATTTTTTCATTGGATTCTTATAGAACGATTTCACCGAAATCATCGTACAAAGAGCTATTGATATATTAGTGCGAAGAGAAACATTATCTTACTCACAACAAAGAAAAAAATTGTTTAGAGTTGGTGTCTGATTAAATGATAAATAATGTATTATAACAGACAACTGAAAAGTTTCTTAATAAATAATTTCAAGAGGAACGATAAGTTAAAAACATCGAATTTTGGTCTGGGAAAATACCAGAATTTCAAAAATAAAAGACTGACTTGGATAACTGATTGTGAGGATTTACTTCGGGATTTACAATAATGTAAAAAATCCAAGTTCTATTTAATAGATGAAAGACAAAAGAACTTTCAGAATTGATTGATTATTATATAATCTTGCGTCATTAATGATACACCTGCTGTTAATGATGACCGCCAATATTTTTCAAAGGAATATCAGGAACTCCTTCTGGTCCAAATAATTCATATTCAAAAACTGATTCTTGAGCTGCCGCTTCTTTGCTTTCACTTTCTTTGTCAACAAATTCATAAGATGCTAGATCCTGCAGGTTATCCTCGTTAAAAACTGGTGGCTATAAGTTTCAAAAAAAAATCTTAAATAATCTTAAATATACAGAATTGTTACTTTTAAGAGACGAATAATTTCATGTGTTTTTACACCTGTGGAGGAGTTGGTATTGAAAGTTGTTTCACGTCTGCAGCGTCGGCTTTCTATTTGTAATTAAATTCTAATCAATACATTGATATTTTAAAGTTAAGATTAAAAAATTTGGTTTAAAGAAATTACCGTAGGTGCAGGCGTGTACGCTTTGATTTCTCGTAAATATAATTGCTGGAGAACGTCTTACGTTCGAATAATTCATCCGACAATTTAGATAGATTAATTGATAAATAAAAAAAAAAAAATGGTCTGCAAGAGTACCTTTCAAGACAGGAACTGTCGGAGTAACATAAGTTCGAACTGACGATGAAGAAAAGCGAGTCAAAGGATATGTTTTCCGTAAGGGACCCTAAAAAAGCGAAAACGGTTTTAATATCAATACGCAAGCTCTACTACACGTTGTCTTCTTCACTTAAAATTAATCCCGCATACATTAATTTTTATCAGTTAAGTTGTTGGGGAGCCAAAACATACCGCTAGAGAGTAAGATCGCAAAAAAAGACGAGACGCGATATTAGTAGCCATGAAGTTTAAGATTTCTCGATGACAAGCGAAAATTATCAACTGTTTTTGCTACTATACGTAATTGGTGTAACAGAATTGACGCAATTACTCGAAATAATTTTTATCGTTTTTTTGGTTTCTCGAGAGGAGGATAATCATCTTAGTTTACATTTTTCAGTTCTCGCTTATATTTCAAAAATTTACTAAACATGCCACCAAAAGAAAACTGGGAAAAATGTGAAATGATTATTTAATTATTTTTTTCTGGATAATGCTGGTTGAATATTTACAAAATTTAATTTGATTCGACATAATTAGATGAGAAAAACGTCGAAGACAAGGAAGAAGAAAAGATAGTTGGTATGATTATGAATTAATTAATAAAAATGAAATAAGAAAAATAATTAACCTACTATAAATAATACGTCAAAAAGCACTCGATGAAGGTGACATTGCACTCCTCAAAACCTATGTAAGTTTCCTCACATAATATAGCGTTAGGTCGAACTTTCTCAAAAATTCCTAATTATTTCATTAGGGTCAAGGACCTTACGCCAAGGATTTAAAGAAAATTGATAATGACATCAAAGATATACAAAAGAGGATAAACGAAAAGATTGGTACGCGTTTTGACGCGTAATTCTGTCGACTCTTGAAATTTTCGTGTTTAGCATGTTCAATAAAAAAATATTTGCAAAAATAAAGGTGTCAAGGAATCAGATACCGGTCTTGCTCCTCCAAATCTATGGGATATCCCCGCTGATAAACAACGGATGCAAGAAGAGCAACCTTTGCAGGTATCAAGAATAGAAAATTAAAAAATCTGTATAATTTCGAAATTTTCAAATAATAACAAGTTGTTAATTTGAGTAGGTGGCACGATGTACGAAGATAATTCCACCTGCAGACGGAGAAGACACGTCAAAATATATTATTAATGTAAAACAAATCGCGAAATTTGTCGTAGCTCTTGGCGAACGAGTGTCTCCGACCGATATTGAAGAAGGCATGCGCGTTGGGTAAGTTGATTTTTTCATTCATTTAAATAGTATCTATTTTTTGGATTACTGGCAAATAGTGCTTTTCCTTTGATTTTAGAGTTGATCGAAACAAATATCAGATTCAGATTCCGCTACCGCCAAAAATTGATCCTTCTGTGACTATGATGCAAGTCGAGGAAAAGCCTGATGTAACATATAGTGATATCGGTGGCTGTAAAGAGCAAATTGAAAAGCTAAGAGAAGTCGTGGAACTACCGCTACTACAGGTGATTTTATAGTTATCCCATTTGTTAAATATCTATCTTAGATAGACTTTTAATTTATCGATATATGCTTATAGCCTGAAAGATTTGTAAATCTGGGAATTGATCCTCCTAAAGGTGTCTTGCTATATGGTCCACCTGGCACTGGGAAGACATTATGTGCACGTGCAGTAGCCAATCGAACAGATGCCACTTTTATCCGTGTAATTGGATCTGAGCTAGTGCAAAAGTTAGTATTATTTTTTTCATATTATCTTCTAACATACGGATAATATCTCGCGCATTATATAAATTTTATTTCTTTTTTTACTCACTAAAAGATATGTTGGAGAAGGGGCTCGAATGGTTCGTGAATTATTCGAAATGGCTCGTACAAAAAAAGCTTGTATTATCTTCCTTGATGAAATAGATGCTATTGGAGGTACGTTATTATACATAAACATAGTGTTTAAATTCGGAATAGTTAAACTATATCTCTAGATAATGATAATAATTATAGGTGCTCGATATGATGATGGTGCGGGTGGCGATAACGAAGTACAAAGAACAATGTTGGAACTAATTAATCAATTAGACGGGTTTGATCCTCGGGGCAATATAAAAGTTCTTATGGCTACTAACAGGTATATGTCAAGATTTGTCTGAAATAAATTCTATAAATATAAAGGATATTCCCACTCATCCCATGTGTGGCTCGAATGTGTCTATCAGACCAGATACACTGGATCCTGCACTATTGCGGCCTGGTCGTCTGGATCGTAAGGTCGAATTTTCATTACCTGATTTAGAGGGACGTACTCACATATTGAAGATCCATGCAAAGAGGTAAACAGTCAATTCGTGAGAATATACAATGCATTTCCTTATTTCATTAAGAAATTTTAATTAATATATATGTGTATGTAGTATGTCGGTAGAAAGGGACATTCGATATGAATTAATTGCAAGACTATGTCCGAATAGTACAGGTAACGATTTTCGATTCATTTATTGTTAACAGAAAACCGTGATCGCTAATTACTTTTTTCTTAAAGGTGCCGAATTACGTAGCGTATGCACGGAAGCGGGCATGTTTGCGATTAGGTCGAGACGAAAGGTAAAATGTAGATTAGTCTCGTTTACATCTTTTAAAAAAAAGAATTAGTCTTCTAAGTCAGAAGTTTATTTTTGAAACTATATAGGTTGCAACCGAAAAGGATTTCTTAGAAGCTGTCAATAAAGTGATTAAGGTAGCGTAACAGTTGCTCAATCCATGTAAATCGTTTGTTTCCATTAATTCACTTATTAACTTTTTTATTTATAATTTAATAGTCATACGCGAAATTTTCTTCTACACCACGATACATGACTTACAACTAAATACAAGTATAATTAAAATATTCTTAATAAATTTGGGCATACATAGAATGCATGTTGCAAAATTTAATCAGATAGTACAAATACATTTATTTATTTATCAATCAATTACGATGTTTGATCCGGTCTATAAATAATATCTTCCAGCTTTTCTCCCAATTTAACAAAATTACCTCTAATTACGCGAGGATCTCCACTAAATCTTTTTTGTAGCTCACGCATGACGATGGGATTACAATCAAAATGCATCAACCAGTAACTAAGAAAGAGTCGATTAGGAAAAAAAAAAAAAAAAGAGGATGTTTGTAATCGTTTGATTTTTTGCATAACTTACTGTCCATCTTCAAAGTACTCTTGGTGTCGACGGGTTCGTGTTGGCAGTCTAAGTACTCCCCAGTTTTCAAAACCTCGTACTACACCACCTCGTTCAAGAACAAACTTGGCAGAGGTACGGACCAGATCTTTTAAGTTGGCCTTTTGATGAAATACCCGATGTCAACTATTGAATTATTTGATGATACAATAATTTCTTTTGAATTTACCTCCATTAAATTAGCCCTAGCTATTATTAACATTTCATAAAACTACAAATAACGAGAATTTCTATATCATTTTTGTCTCTTGAGTTAATATAAGTCGCGCCCATAAAACATACCACCATTTTTATGTACGAATGTGAATTTGTTCAAATAAAAATTCGCATATACTATTAAAATTTGATCCAAAAATTCGGGCCAGAATAAAAAACGCGTCTTTTGCAACTCTATCTATACATTTCAAGTGTTTATACTCTTATTTCCCAATGTATGGAATAGAGCAAGACACGCTGGGCGTAGCTTTCAATCCTACTCCAACAAATATAGTGACATACTATTTAGCAAGGAAATACCCTAAAGAACAGGTATCCTTTACTTTTAAACCTGTCAAGAGTTTATAAGATTGAATTTTCTTTAACTCTTAATTAAGGTTGAAGAGGAAGAGAATGAACAACCCAACGGAAAAATTTATATAAATCCTTTGAATTCAATAGAAAGTTGGCAAAAATCGGTAAAAATTTTTAGAATGTTTTATAATTTTAATATTTTAAAGGCTATTTTTAATCACTTTTCCCCGTCTAGTTATATAACGATGTTCACAGTCTTTTTATCCAAACCCAAAAAATAGCTAGTAATGAATTGGCAACTAATGTTGGCGACGCGTATTTATCAAATATTTCATTTTTTCAAAAAATAACGAAATTTTAACAATAATAGTATTTTTTTTTCTTGAGCAATTAGGTTTCAAAATAGTTCTCTTCGTTCAACTTTATATCAGATAACGCGAGACTATTCTAGCATATTGGAAGATCACACAAAGAACCTTAGAAAGGTAGGAGTTTCGTTTTTTTTTCGATGTTATTAATTAAAATATTCTATTAAGAAAATGGTGGGGGGGGGGGGATTATTTGATAATTATAGCAAGATTATGATATCAAGCAAATTATGGAGATTTTCTCAACTTGGGAAATATGTCGAATTTTATTTTTTTCTCCAAGACGTAAAAGCACAGATCTCGCTTCAGATTTAGTTTGCTGGGTAAATACATTTTTACCTCCTAGTGGTAAATTTTATTACTTATAATATTACTTTTCATAATCATATTTTTGGTCAAATACATTTTCACTTTAATTGGTTATTTGACTTTATTAGAATTGACATTCGAAGAAGAACAACAGTTGGAAACTATTTCGCAGCCACAAAACGAGCCGCTTTTTCGAGATCGTCTCATAAAGTATGCAAATATCAAATAAAAATTTGGACACCGACTAACTTTGTAGTCTTATATAGTTTAGTTCTTCGTGGTGATATCCGAGCAAAGGAGTTATTAGCCTGTTGTCTTACAGGAGATGAAAATGATCTGTCCGATCGTGCTATTCATTCCGTGTTGCAAACTTTAAATAACAAACCACAAGCTAAAGATTACGAGGAAGTTGATTTTATTCTCAAGTGGACTGACTGGCGCTCGGAATGCAGGTATATATAATATATATATATATACTTTGATAGTGGTCAAAATTTAAATGATTTTATCATATTCCTAACAAATAAAAAATTCTTTATTTTAAGTAAATTAAAGGACCAGTTAAATTTACAAGACAAGGAATTGCAATCTCTCCTTGATGTAATATTGGATATAATGCGAGGGTCTGAGACGGCCATCCTGGATAACTGCTTTTCATGGGCAGAATCTTTGGGATGTTTACTGCTACATCGTCTTCCAACTGCTGATTATACTGAGCTGTGGTAAGAATTTTGCCATATAAAAAGCATCAAAATTTTGATTTTTCTGTTGCTTATTATAGAATTATGGTTAAAGTATTGTATTAAATAAATGTCTCGAGGGAAAGTCTCTTAAAGACGAAGGAGATTTTCAAAAAGCTATAATTAAGTTTCTTTTTCAAGAGATTGATCAGGTATATTCATTCTTAGACCATTTAAAAAAACTTGTTGAATCCGACGATTTATTTATATATTTATTATTTTAGGGACTGATACTATGCTTAAATGTCGATTTGTGGTTGTCAGCACACTTATCAGACGTTTTTTCCAAATTCGCAAAGATTGGTACAATTCCTCATCCGAAAACCAGTTCAGGAGTACCTTTCAAGGAGTGAATATTCCATATGCAAATTGATTTATTTTTTTTGTTAATCTTTTGAGAGTGATGGAATTCATTTTACCCTTAACCTAATTGAATTGTTCTAGTTGGCTTTTTGCGTTTCGAGAATCCTGTATACTTGATTATGGCGAGTTATTGGCTGGTCATTCTACGCTTTGGTCTATTGCTTTTGATTATTTTAAATATTGTCCAAAATATGGAATAGATTACATTCAACAAGTATGTTTGAGGAAATAAGGAAAGAAATTAGCTTTTATATGTTTTTTTATCATTAATTCATTTTTTTTCAAAATTAGTTAATTGTCAAGATACCAATGGATACTGAGACGAAGATTCATAAAATCTTGGATATCTGCAAGAGATATGATTTGCGTGAAGAGTCCAAAACAATATGCAAGGTAAGAAGTGACCGAATCAAATTTATAGTTAAATATATCTTTGTCATGCAAATTTTTCATTTTATTTCCCGTATTCTCGTAGATTGTCGCGCGCAAATTTCTTCGTGAAAAGCGTTATACACCATCGTTATTTTATTTTGCAAAGGCTAATGATAAAATACAAATAAGATTGATAGCGCATCAATTTTTGAACAATGTTATCGACACAGGTATTTCTATTTTTCTATCTTTAACATATTTGCGTTAGATCCAATTAATTATCTTATAATTTATTTGATTCTCAGGAGAATTAAAATTTGAAAAAGTAATTGAAAGCCTTCCATTGCAAGAAATTGCAGACACATCGCTGAACTTCTTATCGCAGTATTGTGAATTTCATCATTTGTTGCAGGTAAACATTTGATTGTTAATTATTTTCTTTCTTTATCTAAAAAGATTTATATATATTTTAGGAACGAAGTTTTGAAACGGCTAAAAATTTATTAATGAATCTTATAAAATCCCAAGCATCGCCAAAATACTTCTGGCCAGTTTTACTTCTTAATACATTGCCATTACTGCGGCAAGGTCTGTTACTCAATTTCCCATGAATTAAAACGTGTTGGGATTCGAGACAATATTAATCTCGAATTTATTAAAACAGAAGGCGAAAAATCAAAGTCAGTATTCACTCGCGAAGACATATTTGAAATTTTATGTATCTTGGAAGAAATAACATCGTTTCATGAAAACAATCAAGAATTTGAAAAGTCCATGCGATGTATAATGAAGTGGCACACGCGTGATAATGGTTATGATGAGATAGACGATAAATTGAAAATCGTTCGGCTGAGACTCGCTCATGATTCTGCTAAAGCTTTTACAGCAAAAAGAAATCCAACATCTAATGATTTGTTATAGACGTATTAAAAAATATTCGGATCTGGAAAATTATAGTTTTGTTTTAGAGCTTGCAACCGAGTTCAATAATGCGGAAATGATAGATATTATTTATGAATTTTTAATTTGAGACATCTCATTCTTTATAATTCATCAGAATCATTAGTGGGAGCACCAACAATATTCTCTGGTTTCTCCGAGAACAATTGATAATTCTTTTTTGCTGGAAATATTTTAATTGCTTTGCATTCGATACATTCAATTTCGAGTTGTTTCTGTCGACGAGCTGATTTCCATAAAAAATTAAATCAGTAACAAAGTAAAATTCACAAAAGCGAAGCAAAAATAATTTCAATACATTTAACTCGAGCACGTGATGTTAATCCAGGAACAAGCAAAGAATCACATCGCTTGCAAATGTTTCTTTTAATAGACGGCACGCTAAATAAATACAGAATAAAGATGTCAATCATCAATCAAAAATGATATTCAGAAATAAATCAACGCACATACATTCTCAATACTTGTTTCTTGCTGATATTTCTCATTGTATTTACATAAAACCTGCCAAGTGATCCTATATTCTGACAAGATTTAATACGTTTTACCGTTGAATTTGTTGTTGATTTCTCATTGTTAGTGTTAATATCAGCGTTATCTTTATTACTAGTAGATTCCTGAACAAAAGTAGTAGTAGTCATAAGTGCAGCAGCTTGATACAAAAAATTCATCCGTTGATAAAGTTCGCGATTTTCAACACCGTGTTGTTGCTGCTGTTGGTTTTTCTTTCCTTGACCTTTTTTTGCCATTGATTGAATCAATCAATTCTGTCAATCATTGAACTGAAAATTATAAATACACGCGACTTTTTAATTAATGATGAATTACACGCTGATTTTTTTAATTAACGATGAACTATTTACGTTGTTCGTTTGATGTGAAGAACAAAAGTTAAAATGATAATTCTATAGGTGTCGAGCTACATTGGGAACGCCACTTTTTAGGGAACTAGTGAATAGAACGTAAATGATCCTTTGTTTAAATAATATGTTTTTGCTGTGTTTGTGTCGTGCAAAAATATGTAGAGTTATTTTCATATTAGCAATTATTTTATAAACATGTATGTGAACATGTGTGGCTTATGCAAGCATTGTAAAAAATAAAGAAATAAATTGTCCCAGTCTCAAGATTTTGATCAAAAAATATATAGTAAGTGGGATTTAAAGTTTCAATGAGAACCAATTCACGAAGATGGAATAACTATCGTCGATCCACAAAAAGCAGATTGCATTCTATTTTCATCCATTACTTGATTCACAAGCTGACGATTTTTTTTAATTTTTTAGCTTTCCATTTTGATGATAATAGCATAAAGATTGTTTTCTTTTTGGATGAAAAATTAGAACCATTACTATTCTATCACTCTATGTAGCCACCCCTTGCCTGTATTAAATCATTAATTCTTTTAGGCATCGAATCAAATAACTTATTACAAAACTCAATTTCAATACTTTCCCAAGTGATCTGTAACTTTTACCATAGATCATTTTTGTTTGAAGGATATTAACTTGATAACCAGAACTTTCTGACTCAAAAAAATACGTAAATTTATAAAGCATATTATAAACTATTAATTTACGTATTTTTATTTGTTTTTAATTACTAAAAAAAGTCGCTGATAGATTTTAAAACTAGGCTTTTTTTTGTGTGGCGACTACGTGAACTGCACTGTACTTCATAAAACCATGTATACTTATGTTGCAGCAAAAAATCCAAGTTTCTGAATATTAATCTGTCCACCTCCTCTACTCGAACTCTTTAACGACTCCACCTCTTCTTCCCGAAGTCGGACATCAAAAGCCTCAATGATTTTCTGTCCAATCGTTCGGCCAGTCTATAATTTTTCAATATAAAAAATATAAATCAATTCAGTAAATACACGAATAATAACTTGTATTGTGACTATAAATTGTAAATTTACCTGAATCATTTCATTCAATAAACTTGGTTCGATGCTACCCTCGCCACTCTTTTGCATTCCACAGATTTTACCTTGTTTATTCACGCTTACTAAAAGTTTTGCTTCTGTTGCAAGTTCTTCTAGCGGTGTAGCGTCAATTATATGGCGAGATCCTATCTTCATTTATAACAAGAGGAATTATTCGATATTGACAAAATGTTATTGTAGATGATATATTAATAGCAACTTTTTTTCTCACCTTATTTAGAGTTACGGCAATTGGAATTTGTTCCCATCCAACAATCCTCTCGGCCTCTTGCACATCATCCAGCACTTCAATTTCCATCATTCCTTCCACTTCCTGCACTATTGTTTTTGGAACTCGGGTATTGTAAAGAGCGGCGCGTGTTGTCAAGAAGATAGTGTCCAAAATATTTCCAGCATAATCGAGCACCTGCTCAGCATGATAACGATTATGAGCAACGACAATATTGTAATGAATGACATCACGCCAAATACCTAGAAAAAACATTCACCAATGCGTCAACGTATACAACCCAACACTTATCACCAGGTACTATACACAATTTCTCAAGATCAATTCCAGCTTGAGGTCCATTGAAAATAAGCTCCATTATCTGCGTCAGTTCATTATTGTAATCTTCTGCGCCCCTTCCTGCAAATTGCTGCGACGCAATTGGTGAACTAATTGGAAAAATATCAAGAAACCAAATAATCAAAATCAGATCGCATACGCGTAAATAATAACTGTCAATGATGAATTTTTAAAGAAGCGGCTTATTACCATTCAACGTTACATACAACCCTTCCTCGCTTTGCTTTTTTATCATTAACCACCTCTTCCGCACCATCGACCTCTATTTGTCCGATCTCCACTTTTACCCCAACCAAAACGTCAGTTCCTTCACCAAGTCGGCACCTAGCACTTCCACTACATTGAGAAATTAATCCAGTTTCAAAAGTCACTTGTCGATAATCGAGACGTCCTCGACCGTCAGCGCGAAGATTAGATTCCACGCCATGAAGAATATAATCTCGCTCCGAGTGTGAAATCAGAGTTTGCATTATAAGGAAATAGGGTTTCACAGATTATCATATAATGCATGCGCATCGTAAATTTAATCTACGTATCAGATGCATGCAAGATGAGTCAATATGAAGTAGTACTTTGGCTCTTATTTTTAATAATGCTCATTTTCACTTCTCAAGCGTCTCTTTCGGATTTTTTTATTATTGGAAGTTTAGTATTTGGCGGTTGTTGTAGCAATGTGATCGCGCTGGAGTTCTTGGTCGGGTCAGTAATAAACAGTCAGTACACGCATACACAACTCACACATAAAGAAATGATATAATGTCCCAAAGACCTTGAGGGCAGAATCCTTCTTGTTTGTTTGTTTGGTTGGTCAGTTTAAAAATTGGCTGTTGCTGTCCTTTGGGTCTTTGATATTGTGTAACTTTGTGAAATTGAGAGAGAACTGGGCCTAACAAATTCTTGCATGGTGTGCTTCTTTTATCTTTGCCTTTTTTATTATCAAGAATTATTTTAAATTTATTAATTTTTTCCTTAATTCCTCGGAAAATAAAAGTAAATAAAATATATACTAAAAATTTCTCTTAACAATTATACAGTGATGCGCCTAAAAGCGGTAAATGCTTGCTTTCAATAAAGATCATAAAATACTTATTTTACTTCTATTTCATTAATTAATTAATTAACTATTGATTGACGATTCGCCAGGAAACTTGATCACATTAGCACAATTCACTTTCGTCGCACTAGAAGGTCTTCGACACCATCTAAAATTCACATCCGACTCATGGATTCCAACACTGAAACCACGTATTGTCCCATTATTTAATTGGTCATTACTGGTAGCGATGTTTTTCATAGTGTCAGTTTTGAATAATATCGCATTGGGATTTAGAATTTCTGTACCATTACATATCATTTTTCGGAGTGGTGGTTTGATTGTCAGTATGTTGCTTGGATGGGCTGTAATCGGTAAAAGGTAAATTTTTTTAAATTGAATATATAAACTAAATTAATTGATAAATAAATATATATAAATATATATTAATTATAAATAAATTTAATTTAGATATACAGTCAAACAAGTCATTGCCGTTGTTATGGTTACTGCTGGAGTGTTTCTGTCTACTTTTAGTGCTGCGAATAGTAACAGTAGCAGTGGTGGGAATAATGAAAAGGTAAGAGCAATTAATTGAAACTATATGTGGATTCTATATATTTTTTTTAATGAAATAATTCAACTTTTTAGGGACAAAATTCGGTTAACACTAGTGATTATGTTATTGGAATAGCTTTACTTTCGATTGCGCTAATATTATCATGTATCATGGGACTATATCAAGAAATGACATATTCAAAGCATGGTAGTGATTGGCGGGAGGGTTTATTTTATACAGTATGTAAATTAAAAGTTTTGAAATATTATTTTAAAAAATATTTAATTTTAATGATATGATTTATTTTAATTTTAATTTTAATTTAATACAGCATTTTCTGGCGCTTCCGATGTTTTTAATTTTCTATTCAGATATCAAACATCAAGTATACTTATTCAATAGCACGGAACGAGTTTCTTTGTCAATTGCATTTGATTCTATATCAGGTGGTTCAATTCTAGTCCCTGAAACTATACGAACCATTATCGGAGATTATAAAGTCCCAATATTGTGGTTATTTCTGATTCTTAACGTGTTAACTCAGTAAGTTTTCTCCTATTTCCTGTTTAATCTCATTACGCTCAAATTTGCGAACTTTATAATAATATGACTGTTCACGTATTCTAAACAGATATGTATGTGTATCTGGCGTTCATCGCCTGAACTCTAGATCAACAGCACTCACATTGAATTTAGTACTGAACCTTCGCAAATTTACATCGCTCATGATTTCTGTTTGGTACTTCGACAACGAATTCACAATTGGAATGATGATTGGTGGAATTTTGGTATTTCTTGGTACATTTTTGTATTCTATTAGTAGTTCAAGATCCACGAAAGCTAAAGAACTCGTGAATACAGATGAAGACGTATTGTTGGAAACAACTAAAAAAATAAATTAAGTTTTTTGATCTATTGTAGCTGTTGAATCAATTAAAAAATTGATATGCAAACATTAAATATAGAGATTTAAAAAACTTTCGATATTAAACAAGGATACTCGGTTGAGCCACACTTATTTTAGTATTACTGAAAGGCTATTCGCTTTCACCATTTTACGGTTAACGGGTTAATTAGAGTCTGCTCCACTGCATGATACTGAGTTCTCAAGATCTTTTTACATTTCAATGAATCCTTGCCTCCGAGCCAATCTCTATTAGAAGGATAAACACATGAGTATTGTTATGGATTAAATAATATTTTAATAGTAAAGACATACATATAAAGTCGTTGCACCAATTCATTGTTTTCCGGTGGCTCATTATTCACAGATCGATAAAGTTTATCGACTTGATCAATCCAATCTTTGATTGATATCGACGACTCGGTTGGCTTTAGTTGTCCACCACCATTTATACATCCTGACGGACAAGCCATAACTTCTACATAATGATAGGGTGAATTACCCGTTTTTATTTTGCGAACGAGATTTTGTATATTACGGAATCCATAAGCGGATGCGAATTTCAGCACTGACTTTCCATCAACCTAATTAAATATAGATTGACTTAAATGCCATAACACTATATATTTATAAAGGTATCTTTCTAAATTACCTCTAATGAGATTTCCTTCAAGTCTTTATTTTTCCCGATTTTGACCACCACACCTTCTCCTTTATCGGCATCCACTCCACTAACGTCAAATAACTCTTTAGCCGCATAAGAAAGAATATATTCCAAGAAGCCGCCAGATCCTGCACCGGATGTTCCAAGTAAATTTCCCTCGGAATTCATTTTCGTGAAAGAATCAAAAGAGGCTGTCATGGCTGTAGTAGATTCAGCAATGTTGAAATTTTTTTCCTCAAACATTTTATCCAGTTCTCCGGTCGTGATAACACAATCAACGTCATGTGTATTAAACTCGTTATTGAGGAAATCCTCTCGTGAGGCTTCAAGTTTTTTATCATAGCACATCATGACGCTTACATGATATATTTGATTAGGCCTGTGAAATTTCATCGATAAACATTTATTAATACTGCAAAGAACATACAATAATTGAATAGATAATGCCATAAAAAAGGATAATATACCCACTTGACTCCGAGTTTTTTGGCCAAATAATCTTTGACAAGAATGCCCATTATCTGCTGAGGTGATTTTACTTCGCTTATATAAGGTAGGGTGAATCCATGAGTCTTTTCAGCATAACAAATCCAACCGGGACATGATGATGCTAACATTGGAAGTCGCGCTTCAATCATAGAACTGCTTTCTCTTGAATCATTTCCGGATCGACTAACTCGCTTAGGTTTCAATCTTTCACTACCATCACCATCATTATTAACTGTCTGATTAACTGCTCGCTTCTCTTGTAATACACGATATCTTTCGACAAATTCTCGTGCACTTTCAATCAGCGAGAAATCCCGAGAAAAAGACGTGTCGAAAATATAATCAACACCGAGCGACTTTAAGAAATGAGTGATACGTTGAGCTGCCTTGAAATTCCAGTTTCAAGTTTGATTAATTATGTCCTGAATCTGCTTTTGAAACTAATAGATTAATATTTAAGCATACCTGTAATGGAGTCAGTTTATATTTGGCAGCAATAGAAGCACGTGATTGTGGTGCTATTGAAACTACTACTGTCTTGATATCTTGAGCTCTTCCTTCTTCAATCGCGATTCGATTACTTTCAAGCACTTTGTAAAGTTCTTCGTGTGACTGCATGCTAACTAGAATACTCTCGGCGGATGTAATACAGCCACTTTTTTCCATAATAGCCATAGAATTAGTATAAAAATATAGAAAATTCAATTGCGACACATAGCATTGACAATAACCTGCATGCCAAACAATCATTTAAAGTTATACTCGCGGTTTCTAACTTTGTTTCGATTCCATCTTGTGTCACTTCAAAGTGCCCACCGAAATCATCAATTTTGATAGAAACCTATGAAAAAATAATCAGAGAATATTATTAGATTCTCGATGTTTAACAGGAAATTCATCAAAACTTACAGGTGTGCCGTCACTCTTATTCTTTTTGCTTTCGACTGGCTTAATGCAAGCTTGTGAGGGTGAGATGTAATCGTTTAGATCAGTTAAAATGACAGCACCGGAAAAAGCCATCAAGAGAAAAGGAAAAAATGAAGATTGTCTTGATCAAACATCATTTTTAATTTCTGATTACTTGGTCATTACATAAGATTTTTCCCACGCGCAACAGATCAGATCTATTGTCACGCGTGCATTGTTCTGTAAATAGAATTATTTTTTCATGTATTGCCGATATAATGGAACTTCCTTGAGGGATTTATTAAATCCGTTCTGAACTTAATCCGTTATATCGGTATCGTTTCATCGAGCTTTAAGTGTATCATCACAAAAACGATTTGAAATGCTTTCGCAAATTTTGAAAATTACAAAGCGAAGCGGGTTTCCAGCCTCTATTCACAAATTCAAGAGTTTTTCGTGTGATTTTTCTACTTCGAGACTTGCACTCGCAGCAGTTAATAGCAAAAATGAAGTGCCAAGCACGAAGTTGTATATTAATGGAGAATTCATCGAATCAAGTACTGATAGATGGATTCCCTTGTATAATCCGGTAAGTAATTTTTATGAGAAAGCTTGATTTGATAACGGGTCGTATTAATTAATCATCGATGGTGTAGGCGACAAATGACATGATAACAAAGGTACCTGAAACTACCACGGAAGAATTAAAAGCGGCAGCAGAAACTGCAGCAGAGGCATTTAAAACTTGGCGTAAAACATCAGTTCTAACAAGACAACGAGCAATGCTAGATCTTCAACTTTTGATCCGTCAGAACATGGATAAATTAGCTCGATCAATCACCGAAGAACAAGGAAAGACATTTGCTGATGCGAAAGGAGATGTCCTCCGAGGTTTACAAGTCGTCGAAAATGCTTGTGGTATTCCTTCTTCGTTACTGGGTGAAACATTGGAGGTATCCACAGATATGGATACGTTTACCATTCGTCAACCTCTTGGCGTCACTGCTGGTATTTGTCCATTCAATTTCCCGGCTATGATTCCGTTATGGATGTTTCCCTTATCGATTGCAGCTGGCAATACAATGATTATTAAGCCGTCAGAACGTGATCCGGGTGCTATGATGTTACTTGCTGAGTTGGCTGCAGAAGCTGGTATACCGAAAGGTGTCCTTAATGTTGTTCATGGATCTGTTGATGCTGTTAATTTTATTTGTGATAATGAGCATATAAAAGCCATTTCATTTGTTGGTAGTGATGCTGGTAGGTAATCATTTTTTTCTAGACCAAGCTTTAGTCTAATTACTAACCTCGATTTCGGTATTTAGCTGGTAAATATATCCATGCACGTGGTTCTGCCAACGGTAAGAGAGTACAGGTTCGTATTTGCTTTTTCTTTTTTTCGTATTATGATTGTAAACTATTTATTATATTAAATATTTATTTATTTCATTACGTAGGCAAATCTTGGCGCCAAGAATCATGGCGTAATTTTACCTGACGCTAATAAGGTTAGTTTTACATCTTGTAAATGATTTAATCAACATCTCAATATACTCTATATCTCAAAAAACAGAATCACACATTAAATCAACTTGCTGGCGCTGCGTTTGGAGCTGCTGGGCAACGATGCATGGTGAGATAATTTGCTGGTGATATTTTATTTGAACCCCATCGTCAAATATTAATTTCGATCGTGTTGTTTAGGCTTTATCTACTATAGTATTTGTCGGCGAAACACAAGAATGGTTGCAAGATTTAGTAGAACGCGCGAAAAAACTAAAAGTCACTGGTGGATTTGAACCTGATGCTGATCTAGGACCGTTGATTAGTCCGCAAGCGAAAGAACGCGTCGAAAGATTAATACAAAGTGGTGTTGATCAAGGAGCTAAACTTCTTTTGGACGGTCGTAACCCTACCGTACCTGAAAAATACAAAAAGGGAAATTTTGTCGGTTAGATTTGATGTTTTTTTTCTTTCATTTAATTATTGGACGTGTCTCAATATTAATATTTATCTATTTTGATATAGGCCCTACCATATTAGCGAATGTCGAGACTCACATGGAATGTTACAAGGTATGCGTCAAGTGGATAAAATACCATTTCTGGATCACATTAAATCAAGTCATTTGCAATTACATAGGAAGAAATATTTGGTCCTGTACTTGTTTGCCTATCAGTTGACACTCTAGATGAAGCGATTGAATTGATTAACAAAAATCCATATGGCAACGGAACGGCAATCTTCACAAATAGTGGAAGTAGCGCGCGTTACTTTAGCCTGAATATTGATGTTGGGCAAGTTGGAGGTATGAATAATGATTAAATAATTTTAAGCTTGAATATGAATTCCGATAAACTCTCAAATGTCATATGAAAATTTATTTATATAATTTAATATGAACAGTTAACATCCCTATTCCGGTTCCACTCCCCATGTTTTCATTCACCGGAAGCCGTGGGTCGATACAAGGAGACGTGAACTTTTGTGAGTACTCAAACAAACCGATCTTCTTTTGAATTTTTTTATACAATTAACGAGATTTTTTCGGTATTCTTTTTAAAAGATGGTAAATCTGGATTACAATTCTATACTCAAACGAAAACTGTCACTTCATTATGGAGGAAGGAAGATGTTATGAGTAACCGAGCCGCTGTTAATATGGTAAATATAATATCTTTATTGAATATTTTTCTTTAAATTCATTTATTAATCATTATCATTGTTTTTTAAAAGCCAACGATGCGATAAGATCTCTCTACATACGTGTAAAACAATATATATATATATATACATGTATATACATAGACTTTATTTTAGATTATTAGTGCTTATAATTTAAAAGTTTGAATAATTCAATCAAATTATATAATAAAGCAATCAAGAAATATGTCGTTTTGATATCAGTTTGATATGGGATTTCTATTTTTATGTTCTCATTTCATGTTCTCATATATCGGAATAATAGTAATGTTAAATGCTTCACAAAATCTGACCATCGAAACGTTTTGATCGAAGAATTAATATCTAAAATACTAGCGTATGATTATCAACAATAAAATCAGTTTTGTTGTGAGATGCCAGCACCATACGCTTCTGTTGAACAAACGGGTATAATAATGATTCAAAGTAAGCATTCCCTATGAGAAATTGTGTGCAAGAAATTCTACTGGGAAAAAAATTTATAACAAGTAAAATATGGAATCGCGCTTGCAAAGGTTTTCACATGTTGACATATTTTTGGACTATTCCATTTATTCAGATTTGAATTTTTCTAATTTTTCTAATGTTCCAATATAATATTTTTCAATAATAATCTGATGCTAATCAAATGTCTTCGATATCGTTCATTTCTGTTTCTTTTTTTTTTTTACTTACAAAATACAAGAATATCTTCTTGAAAAAGAAAGTCAAAAATGACGATCTTTATCAAGATTTCTTTGAAGAATTAAAACATCCTATTGAATATTTGCAAACCAAATAGTGAAACATACTGAAGAGTTTCATTTCAAACAATTTATTGATATAATTATTCTGAATTTGAAATTATTGATGACTTTAAATGAGAATCTTTAACGGTATCTTTTTGATACCATACAAACATGCAATTGATCTTTGATATTATATATAAAATATTCCAACTTGAATGTAATAACAAAGAAACTCGATTTGTTCCATGATTTAATAGCGAAATCAATGAATAAAAACCATCGTATTTAATCAAAAAAGGGTAACAAGTTATTGACACAACAAAGTAGCAAAGATAGAAGAATATCAAAGAACATCTCGATGTAATTTTCAAAATTTGTATCAAATTCGGGCATTATCATTTACCACTCTTCTTTAAACAACACTCAAATATCCGCAAAAGGAGATTCATAAAGGACATAATTTCGATTCGAGTACTATAAATAAGAATGGCCATTAGCTTTAAACAGAGTGCGATAATAGTAGTGTAATTTTCTCGCGCCACACAACACTAACGACACTAAATGGCTATGCAATATTTTATTTCTATAAAAGGGAAAATCAAATCATACCCCAAAATTGGCTATAAACATTACAACTCGATCAACCCCTACTTAACACAAAAGTTATAAATAAATTACCACATACTAATACTAAAAATAATTAAATGTTGATATCAAAATAGTAATAGATAGTGACAATGATGTTTAGGAGTAATAATAGTATCAATTATAAATAAACCGGAGTTCATCTTGCAGTTACAGTATATAAACCAGATAAAAGAGACCGAACGATACGATAATTGCACACACGCGCACAAAACAAAAAAAAATATTAAGAAAACTCAGATTTTGTTGTTTTATTTGATAAAGAATAAGAATTTAAGAAAGCAGGTTTCAAAGTAAGTTGTGGAAGTGACACGAATTTAACATACCTTTATTTTTTTTATTATTATTTATTATTATTATTTATTATTTAATTTTTTTATATGTTGAAGTAAATTTTTACGCCTTCTTAGATTACACACAAATTAAACATACCCGATACACACTCCTTTCCAATATTGGACAGACTTCATCTTCACATTTTCATTATTTCCAAAACTTCAACTTTTTTTCTCCCTTCCCCTCATCACGATATTCATTATTCATTCCTTATTTTTTCTTGTCTTTCATTTTCTTATCCCAAAAAAATCCATCATCATCATCATTACCCTCTCTCCTATACGTTCTAACTACCAACTACTATTACTTGCACTCTTTCCTCCCCCCCCCCCCCCCCCCGTTTTGTATCATCAATCAAGATCGAAAAAAACTCGAGTAAGCCGGTTTTTTATTTTATCAACATTTATACAACTATTTTATTTTATTTTACTTATTGTGTGTGGTGTCCATTTTATTTTATTTTTTTTTTGTTAACCTTATTTTTCCGACTCACGCTTCAAAGAAAACTATCACATTTTCCCTTTTACTTTAAAAAAAGCCAATAAAGACCTAGTCTTATTAATCTAATATTAAATATTAAATATTAATATTAATAGATATCTCGAAAATTTAAGTTTTTAACGAAAAGACAGATACACGTTGACAAGACAGCAGGTTATTTTCTTACATATACTTTCTGCTGTTGGTGCTAGTCGGTTAATATTATTATTGTTATTCTTATAACAGTAATAGTAATAATAATAATAATAATAATAATATTAACCTAATAAAAAATTTGGATGTCGTCGAAGCGACTATAGATTAGTGCCCGTGTAGAAAATTTTCCACAAAAAAAAATTAGAAAAAAATAGACAGCTGGTCTGATCAACTTCTTCTCTTTCCAATTCCCTCATTCTCTTCTAATACTCATTCAAAATAACCTTCTCAAACACCAATCTCACCACTACGAAACAGAAAGAGAATCCACTTTAACGAATCTATTGATTAGCTGGGTTGTCCATTTGCCATAAAAAAAAAAAAGTTATACATACACAAGAAACGAAACTCACAAAACAATCAATTGTCTCACTTTCCCAGAGAAAAGACAATTCTTTAAAAAATACAGTATTTCATTGATCGATAGCCGAAAATCAAAAGCAAAAAAAAAACCAAAATTCTTTGCACCTGGTGTGCTCATTATCAAATTCACCAAAACAGCCTTTTAACATATTACATGAACAGCAAACTAAAGAGATCTTATCCGTTCGATTTGTATCTGGTTCATTCTGCAGTAGAAGCAAATCAAATAGGAGGAATAATCAAATCAGAAGTTCCATTGCACAAAAAAATGTCAGTCACAGCAGCTACAAGCATCGATGTTTCTTCTAACAATCAATCATGGGCAGCTGCAGACACATTAAATTCGGCGACAACACCAGCGTCAAATTATATTAAACGGGACAACTGCTGTAATAATGCTGTTTCCGACAGTACAGTCACTGCTGCTACACCCGTTGAAATGATCAAGAAGCCAGTTAGTGCACCTTCATCAAAAGGACGCAGAAACATGAAAAATCTACAATTGGTGGTTCCACCAGTTCGTTCGTCAATTTCAGCTCCAAATTCGCCTCAAATTCCGCTAACCTCGGGTGCTCATTCGCATAATCGACGTCCTTCGACGCCAATTTGTGTTTACCAGAATAAACCCTCGGAGCTTTGCAACAATAGTCAAAGTGCTGCTGATCCAATGGCGTTAATTTCAAGAACGGAAAATGAAATTGGTGAAGATTCACCTTATAAGGAGGGGCCTATTCGTATATTGCCACATCTTTACCTTGGCACTGAATTAAACGCCGCAAATCGTCCAATGCTCAGTGGATTAAATATTGAATACATTCTTAACGTTGGTAAGGAGGTCGAAGTTCCTTATTTGGATGAAATAATTGGTCTTGGCTCTAAAAATGATAACAAAAGTAATGATGATCACGAGGATCAAAACAATGTTACCTACGCGGATCATAATCAAATTTCACCTGGTCTTTCTACTTCTTCATCTCTCTCTTCCGATCATAGTTATCAGACGGCAGCCTCATCACCAGTAGCACCATCACCGATAGCACCATCAATTCATAATGATTCTCCTCTATTTCCCGCATCACCATTCACTCTTGCGCCGAATAACTCGATAAAGAAAGCTTCATTGACATCAGCACGCTCGAATTCAATGTCGTATACATTAGCTCAAAGATCTCTAGCATCTGGTACTCCGCTAACAGTACCGGGAACAAAAGAATTCAAGCCCATAAAATATAAGAAATTTTTCTGGACACATAATCAAGAAAATCTTATTACGGATTTCATCTCTGCATTTGCATTCATTGATGAAGCTCGTTCTGCTGGAAGAAACATCCTTGTACATTGTCAGTGTGGCGTTTCAAGATCCGCATCACTGATTATTGCTTATGTGATGAAGGTGAATCGGATGACTCTTAATCAAGCGTACGAATTTGTAAAAGATAGGAGTTCATATATAAGTCCAAATATGAGCCTAGTTTATCAATTGGTGGATTTCGAGAAAACATTAAAGTTGAGCGTGAATAATAATAATTCTGGCAATAATAATTCGTCTACAAGTGCAAAGAATAGATCGGAACAATCGATAAGACATTCAAGAAATTCCAGCATTGAAAGTGATCTGTTATTAAATAATCATCGTCGAAGCTCAAGTCTTCATAGAAGCAACTCAAAAAACAATATTAATAGTAATTATAATTATGATATTGATTCACCGCCAAGAACACCCGGACTATTCACCGATAATTATTTATCAGCAATAGCTGCTACTACTACTACTACTATTACTACTACTACTACTACTAATAATAATAATAATAGTAATCAAACAGTACTCCAACAATCGCAACATCAATCTACTGTGAAAGGTGGATCTGGAAGATTTCATGTTATTACAGCACCAATCGCATCCCCAAACCCTCCATCACCTTCACCTCTTTCACCTCCTTCAAGCTCGTTGTCACCTACAAGCAGTATTTCATCACCAACTACACCAACTACCACGCTTACACCACCGACATCATCCTCATCATCATCCTCATCATCACCATCATCATCACCATCATACACGTCACATTCTAGGCGTTCATCAAAATCACCATCAGCTTTAAAAACAAGAGCAAGTCATTCTTCATTGCTGTCGCCTCCTCTTCATAATTTGCGACCGAGATCGCCTTCTTCTCCAGCAGAACGTGTCTCATTGTCATCACAGAATTCTCCATTATCACCGACTTTTCCCTTTAATAGCACTTCATCAGATAACAACCCTTCACCTTCTTTGCCCATCTCATTTCCCGATTACGATTTGACTTTTCCTTTCTTTCCTTTCAACGTTGCCACTTCGCGTAAATCTTCGATAATCGACAATAATAAAAATAATGGCAATGTGATAATATTAGGCGCTCAAGAGCAACCCGGATTTTTCGATAGTGGCTCAAAAATGGACACTATTTTCTCCCCGACGAGAGCCACCTCACCAGTTACTACTCCTAGTTTCAATGATTTACTATGGCGTGATGATTGATGATATATACTTTGTAAAAAACAAAGTCTATTTTTGTGTTGACTGCTGTCCCTATTTTTTTTTTACTATTTATTGTTTTGTTTAAACAAAAATCTAATAATATTTGACGGACTTTTATTTATTTTGGAAAATACGTCCATAGTGATCATAATTAACGGTCTAATTTGCAAATTTTGGGATGGGCGGGACCCAGATTTATCATGATATGAGAGAATATACTAATATTTTTGCCCAAAATTATTATTATTATTATTATTATTAATTTTTTTCATGTACAAAAGTTTTTATTTATTTTATTTATTTTTTTTTGCATGATTATTTTATTAACTTGAAGATTATTATTATCGTAACACTTATTGACACCTTTCTTTGTAACTTGTACAAATTTTTCCCCCACCCGTTATTTTTATTTATATTCTATTATTTTATTATTTGCATTTCATGTAATTTTTCATCATCCAGCATCATCATCATTAATTAATAAATAATAATAATGACTAAATATATGTAACATAGCACAAGCTATATGTGATCTACACGATTTTAATATTACACAAATACAACCAGTCCACATCTCTTAATACTTCAAACTTTAGATTTCGGAGACAAGAGTCCTTCCAAAAAGGTTGGAAGGCTATCATAACTGTCGCCGTATGATACAACCTTAATATGTTTTCGGAAATAGTCCTCAGCATCCTTTTTTTCTTGTTGTGAGCCTTCGACCTCTTCAAGTTTATCAGGCAAAGTCGCCTCTCTGCTTACGACAAGCCAATAGTGTGTGGGGTGTGTGCCACCTGAACTTTTGAGTGTCTTTGCGAGTTCTTTGTACAAGTTGCAGAAATGGTAGTCAGTAATGCCGGCGCTACCCGCGCCTACAAAGACAAGTGATGTATTCTTTTCTACGATTAATTTGTGCATGAAATGTACAAAGATTCCCCGGGTCTGCATGTACTCTTCTTTCGATAAGACGAAGCGTCCTTTATCGTAATAAAGTCCATGGACATGCACAACAAAACGTGTATGAGCCTCGGGAATCAAGAAGTTGTTTAGCTGGTCATCCCCAATAAGATCTTCGGCGAAATCGATTGGTGATCGGAAGAGGGCACTTGCCATAAAGGTATCATAGTTGGTAGTCATTAAGAGACTATTCTTGCCGACTTTGGCAAGAGCTCTAGATAGAGGATAATGCGGATTGGCCTATGGAAACGTGAGATCATGATTTTCAAGGGTGGTAAAGATCAAAATGAGAGTCTTGATAATAGTAATATAGGTGTGTCATCTTTTATACTTGCCCTCAATGCATTCAAAGCCTGTTCGGTGAGACGGCGTAATGTAGTGTTCAGGTTGCTTTCATTAATACTCATGATGCCAGTTAGTGTGATGTTGAAATCATCCTCGAATCCTTGGGGGTTATTTTTTTCTATAAAATTTGGTCTGTGAGAATCATACGTTCGGCGTCTTTCACTGTAACATTAAGCTCGATATTACCCATGTAAGCTAAGAATTTCGCGAATTCTTCATAGCCTTTTTTTATATCTTCAAGTTTCACTTCCTTGGACCTTTTATCGATCGCATCCTTGGCTCTTTTCCATACGGAGACAACTGAAGTCTGGGGAACTGAAAGCAAACAAAATCTCAATATAACAGGAAGCAAGTAGTTTGTGTCTTATACAATGAAAAAACTGGGCGCGCTCACTCACATATAGTCTTGTTGATTAGCGTAGCAAGCTCATTAAGGATCTTAGTCGAATCATCAATGCTCCTGTAGTCTCCCCATGGGTTGAGTGCCACTTTTCTCAAAAGGCTGCTCATAGCTGTTATTCCGAACCATTTGTAAGCCAATTATTTCGCGTGTGATGAAAACTCTTCAGTATACTATACATAAACGAATTGGCACCTTTACCTGGGTCTTTTGGATCTTTTGGATCTTTTGTAGGAAGTGATTTGAGCACTCTATCAATAGTGAAACGAAGCATAGGTGTTTTTACAAACATCTCTTCCGCCTTGTATAATTGAGGAAGTTCGAATATTCCATTATCCACAGCTGCTTTGATAGATTTCTTGAATTCGTTTGTTGCTTTTTCATCTCCGTATTTTACATTTTCAACATCTTTTCCAAAACTGAGAAGGAAGAGAACATCGTTTTCGTAAAGCTCGGATGAACCATACGTTTTGAAGAATTCAATAGCGATTGCTCTCAAGAACCCGGCCCAACTTCTGACCGAGTTCAATAAGTTATTAGCGTCATTTGAGCTTATAATGGGATCTACATTCAGGATGGCGCCGGATACACCGGCACCTGTCATAATGGCGCTTCTATTTGGTTGGTTACCAATTTTTTTCGTCCCTTGGAGGAGACTCGCAAGATCGGCTAGCACATTCGATGTCATTATTAAAAGTCAATATGTGATGGGCAATATATTATAGTTTGAATTTTATCTGTGAAAAGAAAATTTTAAATTTCTTTTGCTGGTTATTTTAAACTAAAAACAAAAGAAAGTTATTCAATTGGAAAAAACGAAGAGAGGCATAAACGACAGTGTTTATATCCGTGAAGAATTGTTTCAACAGATTCAGTCAATTTATAAATGAAATGTGTGCTACTGTGTACATTCAATGGGTTCAACTAGATTTCTGCTGACTGGAGAATTATTGTAAAGATGTCGAGTATTTTCAGAGTAAACTACAGGTTTGCAACATATCAAATCACATCGTTTTACACAGTCAACCTCTATAAGATAAAACTAGTTTAAGGTAAACCTTTTTTTTTGTCCCAAAGAATAATAGAATTTTCCATAAGAAAATTTTCTCTATAAAGCAAATTTTTTAGCCAGCCTGGAAACTTTATCTTTTAGTTTGATTGTCTCAATGACAATAGAAAGTTTGTGTAATGTGGGTTGTTTCGATCTCACAGAAGATTATTGTACAACGTTTTTATGAGACACAGTAACTGGTTTGTCTTGTCACAAGTAATGAACACTAACACGAAAATATGAATAAATGCAATTAATAAATACGGATATAAATCTTTCTGAAGATATTATACAAATTAAGGATCATATAGAATTAGAGAATCTTAAAAAGGATTTATAATTATTATTATGGAATTGCTTGATAATTTTAAAGTCAAGCATACTTGATTGTTAATGAAAAAAATAAAATCAATTCAGAATATGAATTCATAACAAATAATTTACTTATAAAACAATTAGAAATCTTCAATTATTATTATTTCTTTATATAAATTATAAAAACATGTATGATCAAACTATTAATAAAATATAATAAAATTAAAATTTTCTCTATATTAAAATCTAACTTATTAAAATATAATATTTTTTATTTTAGCAATTATTATATATAATAAAAGGCTTGAATTTAATTATAATCTTGTATATTATTATAAATAATAATATTAAATTTTAATTTAAATAAGTATAAAAATAAAATTTTAATCCTTAAAATATTTTAAAAAAATTTATATGATATAATAAAATTAAATTTAAAAATTATTTAAATTAAAATATATTACTTATAAATTTCAAATTTATTATTATTTTACAATAATTTTAATTAATAATTTTAAAAAAAATAATTATATTATAGATTAGTAATTTTATTAAAATTATTTTAAATTATATATTTAAGTTATAATTCAAATTAATAATTTATTTAGACAAATAAATTAATAATAATATTATTATTATTTATTAAATAAAAAATATAAATTTTTATTAAAATAAACTTATTAAAATAATAAATATTTCTTATAAAAAATTAATTTTTTATTAGAAAATTTTCAGAATTTTTATAAATTTATAAAAATTTATTCAAATTATTATAAGATTTAAATTTTTAATAATTTAAAAAATTAATTTTTTTCAGCTTATTAAAAATTTAACTTTATAATAATCTAAATAAACTTAATTTTCAAATTATTATTAATTTTACTAAAATTAATTTTAAAAATTTAAATTTTATAAAAATTTAAAAAAATTTATTTTTTAAATTTTACTAAAATTAAAAATTTTTATTTTAAAAATAAATAAAAATATTTAATATTAATAAAATCTAATAATAATTTAAAATTATATAAAAATTTTTAAATTAAGTAAATTTAATAATAATTAAAAATTAATTTTGTTTATATTAAAAAAATTTTTATTAATAATTAATTAATTATTTATTTATACTTTTATTAATGATTATTAAGTTATTAATTTAATAATAATTATTTTTTTATTATTAATTTTTATTAATAATAATAATAATAATTAATAAAAATATAATTAAATTTCTTTATAGTTATTATATTTGAAAAATAAATTAAATAAAATAATAATTATAAAAAATTTTTTAATTATAATTACTTAATAATTAAAAAATTCAAATTAAATAATTATAAAAAAAGAAAATTTAATTATATATTAAAATTTAAATAAGAAAATTATATTTATAATAATATTAAATTATATAATTTTTTGTGATTATAATAAAATTTTACAAAAATATAAAATTTAAAAATAAATAAAAAATAAAAAAATATTTTAAAAAAAATAATACTTTTATTTAATAATTAATTATATTTTAAATAATTAAATAAAATTATTTATTAAGTTTTAATAGTAATATTATTATTTTTTATTATAAAATTATTTTATTTTTATATAAAAATTTTATAAGGTATTTTTAGTAACTTTTATATCTTAAATAATTAATTAATATTATTTATTAAATATAAAAATAATTATTTATTAATTTAAAAAATTTTAAATAAAATTTAATAGAATTATTATTATTTTATAAAATATTTATTTAATAAGTTATTATAATAAAAATTTTTTATTAACTATTAATCTTATAATTTAATTAATTTATCTTTATAAAAATTATATAATCTTTTATATATAAAATTTATAATATGAGATTTAGATAATTTTTAAAAATAAAGATTATTTTATTTTTTTATATTTTATTACTTATAAAACTTTATTTTAGATAAGTATTTATTTTTTTATAATATTAATACTTTAAACTTATTATTTTTAATAAAAAAATAAAAATAAAATTAATTAAACTCTTAAATTAATTTATTATTAAAATTTTTTAATAAAAATTTTTTTTATAAGATAAAATTTTATAAAAAATAATTTTTAATATAATATAAAAGATAGTTTTATAAGTAAAATTTCAAAATATAAATTATTTTTTAAAAAATTATATTTTATAATTAAATAAATTAAAATTTTAAATATTTAAATCTAATAGATATTGTTACCGTTTTAAGATTATGCGTATGTAATTATTTTAAAATGGTAATAGTGACTGTGTTCATGGCAATTATTTACTTTTATATCTGTAGAGGCTATTTGACTATTTTATTCTTT